TGTCTCCAGTTTGTTTGGGTACACGTTGCTTTCCAATTATTATTGAATGGTTTCACATCATAGGCATACATTGTATACAAAATTCAGTGATGTTCACTTAGCGCCCCCACCAACAAGACTCCACTGAGAAAACGCATGCTTCCCAATTTGACATCAACCTATCCAGTGACCAGATCTCCTGGAGTGAGCCAGAGGTAGAAACTCTACCTTTTGTATTTCCCAAAACAATCACCCCTACTGTGAGCGTCTCCCCAGACTGAGTGTAGCTTTAATGTCTGAATGTAAAGTGCATGTGTTTATACATGACTCTCGATGTACCGGCACTGTGTTGCTGTGCATCTGAAAGGACAGCCACGTCTCTGCCAGGGTAAGAACGAGCCAGGTGGGACCTCTCAGAGATGGCTTTGTCCAGGGTGATTACACGGAACACAGGGATCATTCTTGACACTTTGACATTAATTCAAAACCAATCTGGACAAAGTGTTAGAGTTTCTGTGGATGAACTAAAGCATAGTGGAGGATTCATCCAGCCAACCAGATTCAAAAATATGCAATGCTTCATGAATTTTTTATTAGAGGAAGGAAACTAACATTTTAAAATTTTGTATAAAAAGTGAAATTACATTAATATTTTGTCATTGTGCTACTTCTATTGTACATAAAATATGACTTCATGGAACTTTCTGGGAGGACTGAAGTATATTCTGAGGTCATTCATAACATCGGTGGTTTTCTGCTACATTGCTGAACCATGCTTTAAGGGTGGGCGTCACAGCTGTGCCAAACCTGTGTTTCTGACACTTCCTCTTCAGAATGGACACCTTCAAGATGATGCAGGGCAAGTATATTTCTGGTCTTACTCCCAGGGGCCTGACTCAGAAGGCTGGGTAGGAGACAGACCCATGCCTCTGTACCAGCTCAGCAAGATTCAGTGCAGCTCCCACGGGAAGGAGAATTCTAGAAGCTGCCCCAGGAACCAGGCTTGTGTGTTCCACATCCTCAGGCCCCTGTCAAAGCTACAGAATTAAAATCTCTGACTTGGCGATAAAAGCGTTCGGCCAGCACAGGGGGGTGAGACCGTCCCCAACTTAGGATGAGCTTTGGGATTTTAGGGTCCAGGTACCCACTGTGTTTTCATCCCTCCCAAACCACCAGAGCCTTCAGCTCCTAAGATAGTGATCTTGGTAGAATGTGATGGGAAAAGCTTAGATTAAACCCAAAAATGCCTGAAGCTGTCCTGGAGAGCACCCAGTGAGCACATGGCCAGCATATCTGGAAGGCCACTTGGGACTCAGTCCCTGGCAAGACTCAGGCACCTCCAGACTCTCTCTGCCCGCTGACAGGCCCCATATGGTGGAGGCCATACAGCCCCCACGGTGCCCCCTCCCCACCCCCGCACACCGGCCCGACCGCCGCTCAGGAGGGCTTGTCGGGTACACAGCCAGCCGCAGCACAACCGGGGCTGGCCCGTGGCCTCTGCACTCTCCGACCAGGGGTCCTCTCGTGCCTTCTCGCCACTCTCATCACACTGAGTCACCCACAGAGGCTGGCAAAGGCCTGCATGACATTGGACAGAATCCACGGGGGGTCTGTGGCCAGGTAACTGGGCAAAATCAAGGCCTCCTGAAGGACGGAACCATCCTCTCCTCCTGCCTGAGCGCCCAGCAGGAGCCTCTTCTGGCCCTTAACCCCCCTCCTCCTTTGCAACTGGGCCACTAACACTACATCTGCACCCCCGCCCCCCACCAAATGAGGTGAAAAAGCCAATGCGATAGGGAATTCCCTAGTGGTCCAGTGCTTAGGATGTGGTGCTTTCCCTGCTGGGGCCCAGGGTTCAAGTTCTAGTCAGGGAACTCAGATCCTGTAAGATCTTGCACGCCATGGCAGTGCAGCCAAAAGAAAACAGAATGTGCGAAACCCAATGGAAGGTATTAGCCTAATTATGATTAGTTTGAGTAGCTGAGCAGCGTAGAGCTCTGTCTGCGCTCAGCGGAGCCAACTGGCCCCACCCGGGGCTCCCCCACTGCCCTCAGGTCCTGCTGAGGCCTGACCCCTCCCAGGCTGAGGCCTGCTCCCTTCTGAGCTTGAAATAATGCAGGAGATAGAAGCCCCAAATCCCCAGAAGAAAACTACAAATAGCTAAGGAACATATGAGCACCACTTTTTAAATGAAATAGTACTGGAATAGCGGCTTGCCATTAAAGGCCACCTCCTCCAGCTTTTGTGGTTACTCTTGAATCCTCACTTGCAAATTTTACAAACCCCAGCCTCCTTTATTTCTCTAGAGAGAGAATTACCCTCAGTGACATCTGTGGTCTTTGATCATAACCTGTGGTAAGAAACGCTGTCATCTAGTGGCCAACGTGCATACACAGAGACACACATATGTAACTGAAACAGAAATTTCAGGAAGCACCCTTTCCCTTGTTAGGTGCAAAGTCCCCTCTTTCCTATTCTGTTCTGTTCTACTTGCTTTCCTTTTTTAAAATGCTGGTCATGAAATCTCCAAACTGGTCAATCCCAGTGAATTGAAAAACACTGAATTGGAGAAGAACCAGGTTGCAGGACTGACACACTCAACCTCAGACATCCTCTGAAACTACAGTCACCAAGGGCGTGTGGACTTGCTGGAAGCAGAGAGAAGTGGGTAAATGGAACAGAACAGAGAGCCTGGAAACAGACTTGCATGAAGAGCATCAACTCATCTTGGACACGAGACCAAAGGCAACACAGCAGAGCAGAGGCATTCCTTCCAACAGACGGAGCTAAAACAACTGCCCCCGACGCGCAAAAGATAAACCCAGACACAGACATCGCACCTCCATAAAAACTAACTCCAAATGGGTCACAGACCTGGATGTAGGATGCAAAACTACCAAACTCCCAGAATATGACATGAGAGGCAACCTAGATGGATAGAGGATTTGGGGGTGGCATTTGGCTATAATACCAAAGGCACAATCCACAGAGGTAGAAAACATGCTGGACTTAATTAAATTTAAAAACTTCCACTCAGCAGAAAATATGGAGCTGACATTGTCAACAACTCCTAAGAAAAGTGGCTTTTCCAAGAAAATTTGTTTCCTTGGACATTTCTCCTCCGCAGATTCAGTCTCAGGGTTCGGGCTAGGATTAGGGCTAGGGCTTAGGGGTTAAGGATTAAGGGTTAGGGGTTAGATTTGTTTGGGGTTGGGGTTAGAGTTAGGGTTTAGGTTGAAGTGTTTAGGGTGATAGGGTTGGGGTGGGGTCAGAGTTGGGATCATAGTCATCATCAGTGTGGCCCCTCGGCTTTCCACCCCCCACTTCACTGGAGGCTCCAGGGCCCGCTTGCTGGTCTCCACCAAGTAGGGATATTGAAATTCCTACACATGTCTCCAGGGCTTCCCAGGTGATACTAGTGGTAAAGAACCCACCTGCCAACGCAAGAGACATAAGAAACACCAGTTCGATCTCTGGGTCGGGAAATTCCCTGGTGGAGTGCATGGCAACCCACTCCAGTATTCTTTCCTGAAGAATCCATCCCATGGATCATGGTAGGCTATATTCCATAGGGTCACAAAGAGTTGGACACAACTGAAGCAGCTTAGCACTCATGCACAGGTGTCTTCAGACCAGATGGCGTGGTTTTGACCCTGTAGAGAGTTGCTCAGTGTAACCGAGGCATGAATCTCACTGGGAGAGGAAAAGTCTTCTTAAGATCATGGATTGGGGGCCACTTTACTGTGTGTGCCTAGAAGATCTACCCAGAAACCCCTCCCCAGTAAGGTCTACACATGACAACACTGGAAGGGATTCTTTAACTCCAAGCTGCATTCAGTTGAAAATGTGTTCTGTAGAAAAGTTCCAGGCCACGTGGTACAATAACAGTACCTAGAATTTCCACTCCAGCATCAGTGAGCCTCCAGCACTGACCCTTGGACACAGGACTTAGTTAAGGAGGCTTGGCAGAGGCTGTCCATGACTCATCACTCTTGGGCACATAGCTGACGGGTCCGGTGACTCTGCCCCAGGCTGTCTCTCAGCACCAGAGCTTGCTGCGCCTGAGTGAGGCTGAGCCAGGGACTCACCAGCCTGGACAGGCGGGCGCTCTGTCCTACCTCCCTGAGTCCTGCTGCCTGGGGCATGCCCACCCGGCCACCACAGGGGTAAGTGGCTCGGAAATGTGCCCGGTACTGCTTAACAAAATAACAACTAACAAAATAAACAAGCTCCACTCCAGTCTGTGTCTTAGGGCAGCTTTGGAGGAACCCAAACTAAGACAAGAACGTCCCTGGAGTTGGATGACGGGGCTATAGAAGGGAAAACTCCCTTCCCAAAGGTCAGATCCTCACGATTTACCTCCACCAGTGTGCTTGCAACCCAGACCTCAGCAGGATATTTGAATGTAGGAACAAATGATTTTAAAGTTCCTCTTGAAAGAAATATATATGAAAGCAGCGAGGATTCTTTTTTAAGAAAAAATGATAAAGGATTTCTTGCCTTCCAAAACCCCAAATGCATTACAAAGTGATACATTTGTATGTATGCCTGAAATTAACCCAACATGGTAAATCAACTATACTTCAATTAAAAAATTAAAAATAACAAAAATATTTTTAAAAGAAAAGAGGCAAAGTTTATACACTGTAGCCCTGGCACAGAAATGAAAGAACAATTCCAAGGGACTGAAACAACAAGCTCAAGAAACAGAAATATTTTTCAAAAATCATGTTGGAAGGATTAGCTTACTCTATGGAGGAAAAAAAAATCAGAACTTTACCCTATGGCTTACCCTAAAATAAATTTCAGATGGAGGAAAGTTCTAAAGGCAAATATCTAAAAGTATAAAATACTGAAAGGAAACAGAAGTAAATGTGTGTACATTCTGAGTGAAGAATCGTTTCCCAGTTTCCCCAGAGATTTCTCAAGATTTCCTTGACCTTTATCACCATTAGAAATTAATGTTTAACCAGCATATGACGCTGAAAAGGCAAGGACTCATGGATCTGAAGCAGTGAGAAGAGTGCAGGGCTTCAGCCCAACTCCCCAGCTGCTCCCACGTATTCTTCCCAACCCCCAAAGCTGTTAAATCTCACACAGGAGTGGAGACCCAGCACAGCCAGAATTCCCAGCAAGTAAGTCCTGCTTTCTGACTTGATTACGTCTTGCAAATGGCAAGCCCTGTGGCTTTACTTTGCAGCCCCAGTGCTGGGCTTTGGCGTGAATCTCAACTGGCTTTTGGGGAACTGGAGCTCACAGGGGCAGCATGCCGCCTGTGAGCCTGGGGGTGCTGAGTTGACGGTGCTGGGGCTCACAGGTGCCTGCCCCCACCCGTGTGAAGAGGCACACACTTGGTACCATCTCTGGGTGGCTGCTGACAGTGAGCACGGGACACATGTGGATTCCTCTGCTCTCTACTGCATGCCACCCATGGGGTTTGGGGCTCCAAGCCCCGTTTCTTCCTGTCTAAAATGGGGATTTTAACTGTACCTACCTTGTCAGGTTTTGGGGAGTGCTGACTCTCATAATGTATGGAAAATACTCAGCATATCGGAGATGCTGAGTAAACGTTAACTCTTGTTAGAGATGTTTGTACATTTCTAACTGTGACTGCAAGGCTGTCCCTTCATGGCATGTGGTGTAGTCTCCTTAGAGGTAAATTCAGAATCTACCTGTGCAGTGGGATTTGAGAGAACTGAAGGATCTTCCCTGCCAACCTAGCAGGCTCACTGTAATCCCATCGGAAGATACAATTCTGGAGGAGAAACCTTTGCTTCTCCATCCAGCTGGAGTTAAAATAAGAACTTCTGGGTGTTTGTTGTGTGCTAAGATTCACATACTTGGTCCTCAGTCGTATCCTCATTTCACAAGGAAGAAAAACTGAGGCCAAGGAGGTGAGAGATGTGGCCCAAGATCTCGGAACTCATGGCCACGGACTGGGACCTTCCTGAACCATCTGAGGCTTTCCGTCCTGCTACTCTGGGAGATGGTGCCTCTTTAAAGCACCTGCGGAGCCTGGGGCTTGCAGTGAGCACCCCAGGAAGAGTTAACAGGAGCTGCTTGGAGATCAAGGAGCAGGGTCTGGAGAGATTGGACGGGAGGTGTGGGGCTGTTGAGGGGGTTGTGGGGTGATGGAAAAAGTGGGAGGGGGAAATTCAGGGCACAGCTGTGGGGAGGAAAGTGCAGGGCTGAACAAGCAGTGGGAGGCTCCGGACTCAAAGCGGGTGCGGGCACATGGGCATGGTCTTCTTGGGAAGTTTCCCCGTGCCTGGCCTCGGGGGTCCGGTGCTCCCAGTCCTTGAGGTCCCCTTAGGAGAGATCCTGATGGCCATCTTCTGAGGACCTCAGGGGGCTCTCTGTCAGCCTAGTGATCCCCTGTGATGGGAGTTCACCCCTGCCCTTTGGGCTCACCTGTATGAAGGCTTGGGACAGACATGCACCAGAGAACTTCACTCCGAGTGGATTGATGACTTTCTGAAACCAGGAAAATGCTGGTGCTGCTTAAAATTTAAATCAAAACTTCCAGATTTTTAAAAATTACTAAATGATGCTTAAAGAGATGGAACCCTGAGTTTCACTGCACCCCAGCCTCCGATGACTGAGAAAGAACAGGGGTGGTTCACTTTACAGCAAGGTCATTAACAAGTAATCTACTAAGTAGCGTGGCTTTATAAAATGATAAAAGGCTCAGTCCACCAAGAAGTAATATACTTCTAAACACATGTAGACCTAAGGGAAAAGCCTTAAATATATAAAGCAAATTTTGGCACAACCATGAGGAGAAATCAGCAAATTCACCACCATAACAGATTTCAACACATCTTCAGCAATGACAGTGAGCTGGATGATAGAAAAAGCTAACAAGAACATTAGTGAAGATTTAAAATATGTCAACAAGTAACAGTCTTGGTTTATTGGATGTACTGTCTACCCAATGATTAGAATAACCCTCCACCTGATAATAGAAAACACACTTTCTTCTCAAGAGTACATGAAATGTTTACAAAAATTCAGGATGTATTCATAGCAGGCTGTAAGGCAAGTTTCAGAGTCGATCAGAATTGCTAAAATACTAGCCGCTTTACAATCACAGTTCAATTCAGTTAATTAAATTACAACTGAAGAAAAAAATAAGTATATTGGGGTCCTTTAATGGACCAGAACCTGATGGTATGGAGTAGACGATAAGAAAGTGAAAGAGAGAAAGAGGCTGATATCCCTTGGTTTACACAGAGGACCAATCAAGTCCTTGACACAGGACTTGCATCGCTCACGAAGGCACCAGGCGCCCTCTCGAGGGGGTCTTAGAAGCCCGGGCAGAAAAGTGGGCACGACGGGTCTCCACGCTCCAGAGAGTCAGCCAGAAAAAGAGAGAGAGAGAGAGAGAGAGAGACAAAAAAAGACCCGGGGACCTAAGCTCTGATGAAGCAAAGGTGCTTTAACGATTTTCCTATGAGTATATATAGGCTGTGGTACAAGAAACTTCTTTCGGGAATGATAGAGATCAGAAAACCAAATGGACAGCAACCGTTACCAAGGGAACAAGGGGTAATGTTAGTCACAAGGTCAGGAGACAATCCATATCTCAAGAAAGGGGAACGAGACTAAGCATTTTGTCCTAAAGAGAATGTTTACTAAAGGAGACCCAAGCCTGCCTCACACAGTGACCTCTGTCCCTGGGAGCAGCGTGCTGTTCCGCTTGAAGAGGGACAAAGGGCTTATGAGAGACCGCACGTAGGCATCCTCCCGTCAAACATTCCCTGACATAAGTAAAAATTGCTGTGCATGTCTGAAAATTTTGGGGAAGCTACCATTTAACTCATGAATCAAATTTAAAATTTAACAGAAATTAAATAATGCTTGGAAATAAGTGATAAGGAAATATACTAATTTTAAAATGTGAGCTATGTATTGAAAGCAGCACACAGATGAAAGCAAATAGTTTTAAATGCTTATATTAGAAAGTAAAAAGGCCAAAAAAATAATGAGGTAATCCCTCAAATAAAGATGTTAGTAAAAGAACAACAGGATAAAGATCACTGCATGCAGGCAACAATAAAGACAAAGAAGTTAAATCAGTGAAAAAGAAAATAAATGTAAATGAAAGAGGATCAACAAAGCCCAAGGGTTTTTTTTTTTTTAAAAAAAAACTAGTACAATAGACACAGTTTTGGTAATATTAGCTAAAGACAAAAAGAGACAGGAATAGATAAATAATATAGTAATAAAAGGGGATATAATTATAGATCCAGCAAACTAAAAAGCTAATGACTGTATCATAAAAAAGTTCTTGTCATTAAATCTAAAAAACTGATGAAATAATATCAAATTGGGTTCAAGGAGAAAGAGAAGTCCTGAAGAGTCCTATAATAAAGATAAATTGACATTAAAAATATTCCCTCAGAAATGAAGGGGAGGGTCAAATGATTTTATGTATGATTTTTTACACTCTTCAGTTCAGTTCAGTTCAGTCACTCAGTCATGTCCGACTCTTTGCAACCCCATGAATCGCAGCACGCCAGGCCTCCCTGTCCATCACCAACTCCTGGAGTTCACTCAAACTCATGTCCATCGAGTCAGTGATGCCATCCAGCCATCTCATCCTCTGTCGTCCCCTTCTCCTCCTGCCCCCAATCCCTCCCAGCATCAGGGTCTTTTCCAATGAGTCAACTCTTCCAATGAGCGACTGCAAAATTCCAAATTTCAAAATTATATGACTGTTTCAGAGAATCAAAAAAGAAGAAATTACCTTCAGACCAGTCTGTGACAGCATAGAATCTGATACTAAAACTCGAAAAAAAATTCTATACAAAATGTTAAGGTACCACAGTTTTATCCCAAGAATAAAAAGATATTTGAAAATTAGAAAATTTATTAATGTGACTCATCACTTAACAATTCAAAGGAGGAAAACCACAAAATTTTTTACTTTGGTGCAGAAAATATTTTGATAAAATTAAACATCTATTTATTTTAAAATAGGAATAGAAGAAATCGTCTAATAAAGAATATCCAGGGACTTCCCTGGCAGTCCAGTGGTTAAGACGCCACACTTCCAATTCAGGAGAACAGCTTCAATCCCTGGGTGTGGAACAAGATCCTTGCATGCAGCGTGGCCAAACATTTTTTTTTTTAAATACTATCCGATAAAACCTGGCTGTGAATAGTGAAATTTTAGAAGTGGTCCTTTTAAAGTCAATGGGATGAGATGTTCACCACCACTGCCTCTATTAATACTGCTTCAAAGGCCCTAGAACAGTGACAGGCACATACAGAATTTTAAAAGTTAAGTTTTCTAGCAATCACATTAGCAAAATTAAAAATATGTGTGCACTAGGGTAGAATATTTTACGTAAAACAACAAAGTGAAACGTAGCCCTGCATTCAAATTGTGTAGTGGGGAAAATTTCCACATTGCTTCAGTTTTTAGATTAAAATTTAAATTATGAAATAACATTAACAGAAGCATTCATTTCCACAGGAGCACTGGCTGCACTTCCAGAGCTCAGTAGCCAGATGTGGTTCATATATCTGATGCAGGACAGTACAGTCCTAGACAGTGCAATGAGACAAGAAAAACAAATATGTAAAAGAACTAGAAAGAACAACACTTTCACGATTCACAGATGATACGATTGATTACATTGAAATCCACCTGAATTAACAGACAAATTATTGAAAATTCTGAGAATATAGTTAGGTGGCCAGACAAAACGTCAAACATGAAATCAATTGCAATTCCATATGTTGGCAATAAACAGCTATTTTCTTGGATTATGAACAAGGAAAATCACTTTTTCACATATTTATGAGACATTTTGTTTCCATTTCTGATAAATGCTTGTGTTTCTACTGAATTGTGTTCTTTCACTGAAAAGTTCTTTCTAAATGCATATTTCTAAACCCTTCATTAGCGATATGCATTTCAAATCCTTTCCTCCACTCTACAGGTTGTCTTCCTAGTTTATGTAGTTTGAAGAACAGATATTTTTAACAGTAATGTAATCAAATTTATCAGGGTTTTATGGTTAGTTGATTAAGGAAACCATTTAAGAAATCTTCTTCCTCTACATTCATAAAGATATGTCTATTTTTCTCTATTGTCCTAAGAAGTTTGCCTTCATGGTTAAGAATT